TGGGGCCTATGCAGGATTGTTTGGCTCGGCCTGGGAGGAGGGGACTAGACCTACCTGGACTGAGTCTACCAGGTTGACCTCAGTCTGTGGGGAAGGCTTTGCCCTGGAGGAGATGGGAAGGGGGGGGGGGGCGTTGGGGGGAAGGTGAGGGGGACGGGAGGGGGGAGAACAAGGGAATCCGTGACCGATATGTAGAACTGAATTGTATTGCAAAATAAATTAAAAAAAAATTATTTTGTTTTAATTCTATAAGGGAGAAATAAAAATTTCTCTTAGTTGGAGGGTACAGCCCATCATATGAGACACACGAGGGCAGTTGAGTGAGACAGCTGATGGCATTGCACGTGTGTCAGGGAGCAGTCAGTGACACGTGCTGTTGCTCAGTTTGCTTTTCATTGAGAACAGACTCTAGCCTGGGGCAAGGGGCCACTCGTTTGTGTGTTTATTTAAAGCTTAAAGTACTTACCATGGCTTTGGAGATCTGTCCTCACACCTCAGAGCAGTTGTCCCTCTTTTAGAGGAAATGACCTGTTCTCCCAGCATCCGCACCAGGTGACTCAAAATGTCCTGTAAATCCAGCTTCAAGGAAACAGATGCCTTCTTATGACCTCCAAAGGAATTCATATTTGTGGCACACACACACTCACACACACACACACACACACACACACACACACACACACACACACACACACACCAGGCACACAGGCACCAGGCACACATGCACACAAGAGCACATACATGTATTTAAAAATCTTAAAAAATGAAACCTGTATTTAAGCTATGTTAGTATATTAGTGAGTCTTCTCAAATATTCGAATGATACAGAAACATAGAACTTCAGGGATGGAGGGCTGGCTCGGTGATAGAGAGCCCTAGGTTCAGTTCCCAGCACCCTCATGACAGCTTAAAACTGTTTGTACCTCCAGATCCAGACAATCCAAGGCCCTCTTCTGATATCTGTGAGCTCATCCAAGCATGTGGTGCACATGCATATACTAAACTACACACACACAAACACACATGCACACTCACACACACAAATACACACACATAAATAAATTAATTTTTTCACAAATATAGAAGAAGAGAATAGAGCTTCAAACTAAAAACTTTCTTTCATTCTGTTACACTACCTAATACTTTAAAGAGTTTGGTGGACTCTTTCCATGGCATTCAAACATACCAACATATGCATGTATGTGTTTTGCCATTGAGTTGTGATGATTTTACAAAACTGGGTTCCTGGGAAATAGGTTATTTTTTTTCACTTGTATTTCTTGAAAATATTTTACATAACATAGTACCAGTAAAATTCAGATATTCTTCATAAATATATATTGTTGTTAAGCAGATGGACCTTGTGTAAAGTCCCCATCCAAGACTATTTGACATACTACAGCATACACTTTGTACAGGTGTTCCAGGCATCAGCTGAGGGCTCAGGAGCTGTGGGAGGCCTTGGAGTCTAGACAGCATTATCCATATGCATTATAAGTATTTTAATCTCAACATGGACTAGATAGGCAAATCACTAAGAAATGTTCACATTCTTCCACTTTAAGTCTTGTGAATTCAGTGTACACTTCCCATTTGGTACACATAAAAGCCCCAAGTGAAGCCTTGTGTAGGCTCCTAAGGTGTGGCATGCTATTAGTGACCACTTTTGAGATAAGAGTTATTTTGTAATGACAGTAACTGGACTAGGGATTTGTTGTTATAGACAACACATTTAAGCTGGAGACTGAAAGATATGAGGCAGCTTTTCAAATCATCAGAGAGAAGTGTCCTAAAAAACAGAACAGCCATGGAATAGGTGCACGGACCAGGAGAAATCCTAGAAGCAGACAGGAAGGCAATATGACTGAAACAGCTCAGTTTTAGAGGACTTTCCAGGCATGCATGAAGCCCTGGATTGGATCTCCAGTACAACACAATCCTAGGGAGGCTGCACACACCTGTGATCCAGCAGCAATGGAGGAGAGGGATCAGTTCATGATCATCTTTGACTACAAGGGAATTTCAGGCCAGCCTGAATTGCATAGTGAGAACCTGTTTCAAAACAAAACAAGAAACAAACAAACAAAAAAAAACCAACACCCAACTTAAAACTGAAATGATTGTCCTAACTCCATTTAGTTATGCCTATGTTATTAAATCCCTGTGACTCATCTGTCTTCCCCCACAATGGGTGTGGGGGCAGCATCTTACACCACATAGATGGTGATGGGCCAGAAGTTTTAGCCCCAAACAATTCTGTGCCCTTGTTCTCAGAGTCTTAAGAAGATCATTCATCATTGGTTGGTTGTTAGTTAATTTGCTTATTTGATTTTCAGGAGTGAGGACAGCCTCAAAATTCATAATTGCTTCTAGAAACACTTGCTTGAACAACATTTTGCTCTCTAATTGCTGGATGGGGAAGTAGTTGTACACAGTGGGCTGGATGTATTCTTTCTTCTGTTCCATTCTGAGTACGGGCTGCTAGTAAACATATTAGAAAGATGTTAGTTGAAGGGCAGACCAATGGGTACAATAAGAGCAGGTGTCCCTTCTGCTCTTGCTCCAAGGACTCCTGGTTTCTACAGTTAATTTTTCTTTCTGGAGCACTTTATTCAGCTGTAAATTGAGAGGGTTGGTCCAGGTGTTAAAGTCCCTCCACTCCCCAGCCATCTCCAAAGCAGCATGGTCCCCAGGCCTAGAGTCACACCTCAAGTGAAGATCTTTGCTGCAGCTTGAGACACAGCTCAGGGCCACATTAGCAATGCTCCCACCCACTGATGTCCTCCTCTAGTCTGTTTGTATCAGTGAGTAGATGCTATCTAGTAGGTGGATTGGGGAACTGGAGAGACTCAATTTCACACAGAACAGGTGAAACTGTGGCCAAGAGATAAGGATGGAATTGTAAGAGAGCCTCCTCTTTATCCATAAATAGTTCTGGAAACATGCCTCAGCATCAGAGGACTGGAAGGACAAACTGACAAGAAGTTTCCACTCTTTCTTAATTAACAGGTAAGCCGGGTCTTCTATAGACTCATGCTGGACAATCAGGATAGTGCTCTGTGGAGTTTCTGTACCATATGGAAGTACATATGGGATGATGTGGGATTGTATGTGGGACATTAGGACAACGGGGGAGGGGGGGCGAGTCTCTAGACATTAGGGCAACTTAGCATCCAATAGAGTTCTTCAGATTCTTGGAAGGTGGATCCTCATTTAAATGGAATAATGGAATTTCATAGATGAGCTATTATTAAAGCCTTCTTAAGCAAAGTTAATATGAGAGATAAGAAGAAAACTGTAGAAAGCAGTTTGGTACTCCTGGTCTGTATAAGTAATACATAATATAGAATATAGAAATGGGACCAGGGAGGTGAGGGCATAGATATATTGCAGTGTTCTTCATTGACTCTTCTGGTTTGCAGATTAGATTTTGTTCAAAATATCTGTATGCAGTGTGAGGAAGAACCTCAGTTGGCTGCAGACATTTGAACTTTTGTGTTAACGGTGAGGTAGCCAAGGGCAGGAGTAACTAAATTTTGCTTTAGTTGGAATGTTGGAGATGCGAAAGGAGTGTCTGTCCCGGAAGATAAATTGCTTTTAGACTTGGCCTTTGCTGTCCAATGACTGGGAAGTCACTGAATTCTTTAACTATGGGGGAAATTTTAGAGAAAAGCTTTAAAACTGTATTTTAAATGTTTATATCTGTTAAAGGGGTTCCTCCACTCCTCCCCAAGGCAGGAGCTGCTGGTGGCTGGGGTCCTTCTTCTTGGGCTGTCTGTCTGTCCTGACATGTGCTTCTCACCACCCAGGTGCTGCTGGCTGTATTTTCACTGTCCTGAAGCCCCTCCCACCCCTCCAACCCTCCCCTGTGCATAATGGGACCTTAAAACAAGTCATATAGTATAGCAAATATGCCCCAGTGGATACTGATTAGATCCTCACAATTGTGAAGTCTTACTCTGAACTTTCTTCTTATTTCAGGTGTGTGTGTGTGTGTGTGTGTGTGTGTGTGTGTGTGTGTAAAAGGACAGCATTCAGGAGTCTATTCTATTCTTTTGCCAATCAGTACTTGGGGGAAGATCTAACTCAGGCTGTGAAGCTTAGCAGGAAGTGGCGTTACCCACTAAGCCATCTCTCTGGCCCTTGGTTAGCTTCTTCTTTCAGTGTGGAAGCCATCAGCCCACAGCTTCTGCAGACACCCTGGGACCCCACTCATGTCTGAGCCAACACCATTTTCTTAGGTCCTGGATTCCACCCTTCCATTGCTCAGTAAAACTCTGCTTCTGCTTTGTCGAGAAAGCAGCTCAAGAGCTGAGGCGAGAGGATGGTGAATTCAATACTAGCTTGAATACTCTTCAGATCACACATACACACACTGTTACGGGATTTCTGTTCAGTTTGGAGCTGGACACTTACTTTGCAGCCGAGATTGGCCTGAATCTCATTGCAATCCTCTTTTCTTAGCCTACTGATTGCTAATATGACATACATAAAATCCTTAGGTCTTATGTTTTTGTTTTCTTTTAAGACATGCCTTTGTGTATCCCAGACTGGCCTCCAAATTGAGAGGTACCTAATGATAACCTTGAAGTTCTGATCCTCTACTTCCTAAGTTCTTAAATTACAGCCATACAGCACAATTCTGATTTGATGTGGATGATGGAACTAGGGGTTCAAAAACACTAGCCCGCTGTCTACCAGCTCATATACCCAGCTCCCACAACTGGTACTTCTATCATTTAAACTTAGAAAGAAATAAACCTTAGCATGTTGGCAAATACTTTCTATCCCAGCCCTTGGGAGATGGAGTCATAGGATCAGGAGTTCAAGTTCAGCTTTGAGTCCCAACGATATTGCACACTAACATGATTCAAACCCAGAATATCTCCTCCAAACCGTGGCCTATGTGATTCATACATTCAGGATAAGAGACCTCAGACACAGTGTGGTTGAGTGACAGCCAACCAGAGTGTCTTCTCATTGTCCTTCAGGTCAACATCATGATGCATCCTCAAGCCCTCATTTCAGTCCTCTTACTCCTTCTCCCAGGTAAGTGAGAGGTGAACTAGGGGATGGCTAGGAGGACAGAGGTTCAGAAGACACATTTCCCTGGGCTCTATATTACAGGTTATGTAGTGATTAAAAAACCAGCATGAAACTGCAACTCCAAAGAAATATCTTAACCTACATGAATTTCAAAATTTATGACTAAAAAATAAGATCCACGAGTCTGTCAGGTAAGGGGTGAATATATGTACATGCATGTTACATTCAAGTAACGGTGAGTACATGTATGTGCATGCTATAGTCAAAGCCTGAGAGCTAAAGAAAAGACACGAAAGAGCACCAAACCTTCACTTGGCCTATATACCTTAAAAAGAAAAACACATTCATTTTCAATTATTTAATTAAAAAATCCTAATTGAAAAAATTCTATGATGTAGGGGTAGATAGTGAATTGAATATTAATTCTTTTGGGACAAGGTCTAAGGTAGCCTAGGCTGCCCCCACACACAATAGACAACTGAGAATAACCTCAAGCTTCCCAACAGCTAAGATTATAGGTGTGAGTCTCTCTACACATGCTATATATTCCAAATTTTACAATCTGACCTCTAGGAAGTGAGATTGTGGAAGGTTGTTAATTCTTATCAGAAATTTCTATAGTTTTCTTTTGATAGCATGTGTTATATTTCTGATCCTAAAAAAAGTATTAGGCAAAATCAAGTAATTAGTGTCCTAGTGAGATATGTACACCTGTCACACACTAATTTTATAGAATAAGGAACGTGCTTTCTCCAACTAGATCCCACACTCATGACCTAGGCCTGAATATAGGTGACTAGTGAGTGAATCTCGCAGTTCACAGTTTTGTGCTGTTTGCTTATTTGTTTATTCCTGTGCTGAGATCCAACCAGGGGCTGTCATGGGTAAGGAGAGCCTGGTACCCTTGAGCTGCCTCTTCAGCCCTCAGCTCTCCCTTACTGGAGGCAATTGGAAACAGAGACTTTAATCGATCATCTCAACAGATACATATTAAAACTATTATTTTAGGTTTAAAAGCTGTATGGTTTATTTCTTGATTTAACATTCCAATTTTGTGGTCTCACTTTACAAGTGAATGTTGTTCAGTTTCTGGAATGTTACCAACGTATAAGATGGGGTCCTTGTTCAGTTTTTTTCCTTAATTTTTTAAAGAACTGATGCTAAAGCCCCGGTCCTCCTGATGGTATTACAAAACCCATCCTGAGCTTGCCCTGGGGGTACACATCTTTAATCCCAGAACTGGGGAAGGAGAGGCAGGCAGATCTCTGTGAATTCAGGCAGCCTGGTCTACACACAGAGTTCTAAATACTGAAGCCAGTCAAGGGTTACATAGCAAGACCTTCTCTCAAAAAACCAATGAAAACCATGTGAGTAAACAAAAGCCATTCTGAAAACTGATTTTGAAGTTGGTAAAGTTCTGCCATTTACCCACAATGCTGGAAACAAACCCTGGGCCCTGCTCTTTGTACAGGAGAGGTGGCTAAAGTCAGTGATTTCATTGTCAGTAGCACTGAGGGAAGTTGCGGTGGGGGGGGGGGGGCTGGGGGTGTTGAGAGCCGGTCTCATAAGCTCAGGTTGGTCTTGAATTCACTAGTTTCCTGACTTCACCTTAGAATTCCAGTTTGACAGGCACCCATCATCATGCACAGCTTCTGGGAAAGCAGTTGTAAAAGTACAAGCCAGCCTGGGCTACAGAGCAAGACCCTGTCTAAAAATAAACCAACAGGTCAGGCATGGTGGTGCATGCCTTTAATTCTGGCAGTCAGAAGATAAAGTTAGGTGGATCTCTATGAGTTTTATGCTAGCCTATTCTACATAGAGGGTTCTAGGCCTGTGAGAACTACCTAGTGAGCTCTGTCACAAAAAGAAAAAAGAATGAAAGAAAGAAAGAGAGAGAGAGAGAGAGAGAGAGAGAGAGAGAGAGAGAGAGACAGAGAGACAGAGAAAGAAAGAAAGAAAGAAAGAAAGAAAGAAAGAAAGGAAGAAAGAAAGAAAAGGAGGAAGGAAGGAAGAAGAAAGAAAGAAGGGAAAGAAAGGAAAATACAAAAAGAATTAAAAAGATACAGTGTGAATATAATACAGTGCAGTAAGTTGCTTTATCCACACACATGACCATTACATAATCACACTGAAGAAGAATAAGCTAACAGAAAATGGTTTATCATGGAAAGGTTAAGCTATAAAAACTCTACAAAGAAAAATGCAAAGAAGAGCTGGTGTTGGAGCACAGTGATAGAGCACTTATCTCCCATATCTATGCCCCAAGTTTAGTCCCCAGTTGAGCCAAAAAAGGAAAATGGGAAAGAATCGAAGAAGTAGAATCAATTATAGGAAACTGTTGAGTACTCATTCTCCAATTCCACCCTTTGATCACAGCTGCCGTGGATTCTTTCCCAGAAGTGCACGGAGTGGTGGGTCACCCTGTGACACTGCCGTGTACTTATCCAGTGTCTAATGGACTCTCATCCATGTGTTGGGGCCGAGGGGCATGTGCTTCTGACACATGTGGACAAACACTTATCCGGACTGATGGCCACAGAATCTACTATCGGACAAACAATCGCTACCAGCTGAAGGGGCAGCTTCTTCAAGGAGATGTGTCCTTGATGATAGAGAATGTCACTGAGAGTGACAGTGGTCTCTACTGCTGTCGGGTGGAAATGAAGGGGTGGAATGGTGTACAGAGACTGACCACCTCACTGCAAGTTCAACCAGGTAAGTGTGCCTTGTTGCTTTGCTAGTAATTTGTTCTTTTCCTAGAACAAGGAAACAAAGGTTCTTATAAACATGCTTGTGATCAAACACTTGCTTTTTATTATTTTTTTAATGACATAGTCTCATGTATCTCAGGCTGTCCTTTGATGGCCATGCCCTCCTGGTTCTTCTTTAGCCTATAGCACTCTGGTCCTGATAATACAGTTGTGTACCACCAACTTGTTTATTTATTTGTTTAAGCCCTAAAATCAACCTTAATTCAAGATCATGAGCTAAGTCAGGACCCAGGTCCTAACTGTACTTGGGACAGTCATGTTGGTCCATAAAACTGCCTCCACTCCGTCTGTGGGGAACTTCATTTAAGCCGAAGTGACTTGAATGAAAGGGATCCTCTGCCTCTGAGTTACTATCTTGTGATATTGAAACTCCTGTTTCTGTTTATTTGTTTTAACAGGGTTTCTCTGTGTAGCCCTGGCTGTTCTGGAACTCCTTTTGTAGACTGGGCTGGCCTGGAGCTCACAGAGATCTACCTTCCTCTGCCTCCCAAGTACTGGCGGCGTGGGTTACCACACCCTGCCAAAATACCTGTCCTCAACACTGTAAAGCACAACAATGCTTTACAGCTGACCTGAAAAGCACGCAATGTAGGATGCTGCTGTGCAGATGAGCTGGCTTCAACGAAGGTCAGCTGACCTTACTGAGAGCAGGTTACATCATAGATGGAGAGTTCCACTCCATGTCTGCCCTGCCTTGAGCTTTAAAAAGAGTCCTCACATCATGTTACAAAAATTTTATACACAAAAATGGCCACAAGGGAAAGTATTTGTCTTCCAACACCTGTTCAGTGATTACTAGTGAGAAATTCATAAAAGCCCCAGTTCTTAAAGTTTCCTTTTTGATGTGAACACCCTTTTCATAGAAGGAGCTGAATCATGAGGATGTACCTTCTGGTGATATTCCCTGACCTCCTTGGCTTACACTGACAATAGACATCCATTCTAACTTGCCTCCGTTTTTTAAAATCCACAATATCATTTTGCAATTGTTCAGCCTCTTCAGTTTCTTACTTACTTTCTTATTTAGTATCTATTTATTTTTGACATTGAATCTCACCGTGTCGTATAGAGGGTCAGGATCTCCACAAGTAGGTCAGACTAGCCTAACTCATAGATCCAACTGCCTATCTTTTGACCCATGGGATCAAAAGCCTGTTCCACAATGTCCAGCTGCTTGAAATTACTTACAGTGAGCTGTTCTCAAGTGTAGAAATTATTTCACAGGCCAGTGTTTAAAAGTCCTCTGGCTAGTCAAGGGGTTCAAAAATGACACTCTGCTTTATCTTTTAACCACCGTTTTTTAAAAAATAATTTCTTGTGATTCTAACACAACGAGCTTCCTCTTCAGGTGTCCTGGGACCCTCATCAGCTCCTTTAGATTTTCCCATCTACATGGGAGAAAAAATGCCCCAGAGCAAGAGAAGGAAAGGTCCTGAGCTGGTGATTCTTTCCTGGGTTTGTTCTCATAGTGATCTGACTAGATTGTTCACATGCTTGCTTTTCTCCACTTCAGAGATTTATACTCTCCAGGGAAGGTGTGTACTGTGCTCAGGCCTCTGCCCACACGTTAGACTGGTTCAGCAATCTGATAGTTTGAAACCAATAGTGTGAATAGTTTTACTGCAGCACAGCCACACCCACTCCTTGCTAAGTTGTCAGCAGTGATTTTCAAGCTGACTGACAGTTCCTGAGTCCAAGACACTTACTATCTGGCCCTCTATAGGAAAGGGGCTTGATGGCCAGTGAGATGGCTCAGTGGGTATCTTAGCTATGGTTTCTATTGCTCTGAAGAGACACCATAACCATGGCAACTCCTATAAAGGAAAAACTTTTAATTGGGGTTGCTTACATTATCATCATGGTGTGACATGATGATGCGCAGGCAGACATGGTACTGGAGGAGGAGCTGAGAGTCCTACATCTTGACCTGCAGGCAGGCAACAGGAAATCAACTATCTCACTGGGTGTAGCTTAAGCATAGGTATGATACCTCAAAGCCTGCCTCCACAATGACACATTTCCCTCCAACAAGGCCACACCTATTTCAAAAAGGCCATACCTACTCCAACAAAGTCACACCTCCTAATAGTGCCACTCCCTTTGAGGGCCATTTTCTTTCAAACCACAACAGTGGGTAAAAGTGCCTTGGTCAAGCTTGATTACCTGAGTTCAGTTCTTACAGCCTACTTGGTAGAAGGTGAGAACCAACTCCTTCAAGTTGTCCTCTGACCTTAACACATTGGCCATGGAAAATTACACACACACACACACACACACACACACACACACACACACACACACACACGGGGGCGGGGGGCTGGGCAGACAGACAGACAGAGACAGGGAGAGCAACAGAAATACAATTTTTTTTAAATTTTAAAAGCAGACTGAACTGTACTTCCACTAGTTTCCTGCATGTAACAAGTGAACACATTCCTTTTGGTGCACACCTTTAATCCCAGCACTCGGGAGGCAGAGCCAGGCGGATCTTTGTGAGTTCGAGGCCAGCCTGGGCTACAGAGTGAGTTCCAGGAAAGGTGCAAAGCTACACAGAGAAACCCTGTCTCAAAAAACCAAAAAAAAAAAAAAAAAAAAAAAAAAGAGAAAACTCAATTCAAAGGAGTTATTCCCAGTTCCTGGGGTTTTATTTTGTAGTTGGCAGAGTTAGGATGGACAGAAGCTGCTTAGGTGGAAACTGTCGGCTGACAAAAGTACTGTGGGTACCTTCTGGACTTCTCCACGGACTGTCCTTCCTAGCACTGCCTTCCCTGAATTCCAGTCTGGGATTTCTGTGCACTCTCAGAACACCAGTAAGCTGTTTGGATTCACTCAGCACTTGTGATTTTTCTTATTTGAGAATTACAGGTTAAACCTGCCTTGTCTCACTATCAGATCTACAGTGCTTCAAGATCTGAAACCTCTTGGGCATTGCCTTGGTAATCTACCTGGAAAATTCAAAGCCATGAAGTGTTCATACACAGAATATCAATAGTTTATAAACCTACCTATAAGCTATAAGCTATGCATATAAAGTATATGCATATGAATGCTACATCTATCCACATTTAGACTTGAGTCCTGTCTGTGAGCTATACGTAAATTTTATAAAATTTTCAGAATTATCCAAATTCTGAAACTCCTGGTACCAAAAATTTTTGGATAAGGAATATTCACACTGATTCTCTTAGATTGGAAGAAACCATAGATGACTGTGTCTCTTCTCTACACAAATGTGCAAATCATTTAGTGTTGGGCCTTGCACGGGAACTCCTATGGGCCAACTAGCCTAGTTAGCCTTATGATGCAATGCTATGTGGTGTGTCCTCTCAGAACTGACTGCATTGAACACACTGAGTCTGTAGTCTGTGGATGAAGTCAGTCACCACTGAGAGCAGTCCCAGTCCTCCATACCCTCTCAGTGTCACAGAGATGCTTAGAGATATCTGAGGACCTGACACCTGTCATTTATACAGTGTGTCCTTAGGAACATGGGCTCTGTGCTCAGCTCCATGTTGTCTGTGCAGCTGCCTCCTATTGATGAGCCTATCTCCAGTGCCCCGTCCTGCCCCATCCTAGTTGGTCAATGACAAAGAACAGAAGTGCAGGAGACGAGCCTCTCTGGGGACAGCCTCTCCCTGGTGTGTTAGAGAGTGGGTGGAGTGAAGGCTCTTCTTTCTTCTTGCTTGGCTGACCCTTACTTTCACATTGATTTCTAAATTCAGGAGTTCCAACAAGTTCTTCAAGGAGACTTACAGGTAGATTCAAACCTATCAATAGACCCAGACCTACTCCAATGAGTCCCATAACACCTCTAAGGAAACCCAGAATTACTCCAAGGAGACCCAGAACTACTCCAAAGAGACCCAGAACTACTCCAAAGAGACCCAGAACTACTCCAAGGAAACCCATCACTACTCCAAGACCAAAAACAACCAAAAAACCCACAATTACTCCTAGGAAACCCACAACTACCACAAAACCCACAACTACTCCAAGAAGACCAAAAACAACCAAAAAACCCACAACTACTCCAAGGAGACCAGCAACTACCACAAAACCCACAACTACTCCAAGAAGACCAAAAACAACCAGAAAACCCACAACTACTCCAAGGAGACCAGCAACTACCACAAAACCCACAACTATTCCAAGGAGACCCTCAACAACCATCAAACTTACAACTACTCCAAGGAGACCAGCAACTACCACAAAACCCACAACTACTCCAAGAAGACCAGCAACTACCACAAAACCCACAACTACTCCAAGAAGACCAAAAACAACCAGAAAACCCACAACTACTCCAAGGAGACCAGCAACTACCACAAAACCCACAACTACTCCAAGGAGACCAGCAACTACCACAAAACCTAAAACTACTCCAAGGAGACCAGCAACTACCATAAAACCCACAACTACTCCAAGGAGACCAGCAACAACCACAAAACCCACAACTACTCCAAGGAGACCAGCAACTACCACAAAACCCACAACTATTCCAAAGAGACCAGCAACAACCACAAAACTCACAACTACTCCAAGGAGACCAGCAACTACCACAAAACCCACAACTACTCCAAGGAGACCAGTAACTACCACAAAACCCACAACTACTCCAAGGGGACCCTCAACTACCACAAAACCCACAACTACCCCAAGGAGACCCTCAACAACCATCAAATCCACAACTACCACAAAACACACAACTGCTTCAACAAGACCTACAAATGCTCCAAAATCAACCAGAATCTCTACTTCTACTCCTCCACCACCAGCAAACACACAGACTCCAAAACCAGGTAAAACCCAATGTGGTTCAGCAATCAGAGGCCTTCTCCTGGGGTGATGTAGGACATACTGGACAGCAAGGCAGTCATAAGTATGATCTAGGTGAAGGGTTCTCAGATGGGTTCCAAACAATGACTTCACAATGCCTGTGATTCTCCAAACTTTTTACATGTGCCCTCTGCTCTGCTGTAAGAATTTGAACATGGAGGACACCTGTCTCTCTATATGAGATTCTCTGAGGATTCACTATTAGCCAAACAGGTAGATAATTGATCTAGGATAGCTGATGAGGATGGTGGGAATCTGGTCCAACTGGATATGACTTTCTGATGAAAAACTAAAGAATGACTGAGAACTAGTGTCAGGGTAGGGAGACTCTTGACCCTTTACATCCATTCTGGAATTCGTCCATCCAGCTGAGGCCATAGTTCAGGGAAGCTATTATTTGGTATTTCCTGAGCATTAAGCAGTATACTACTTGCTTTATGATGCTGTGCTTAATTCTCAGACACTTGTGTCCTATATAGCTGTGACCTGTCCCTATTTTATAGTGACAGGAACTGACAGAGTCAGAAAGTTCATGGTGGAAGTTATAAAGACAGAAAGTGGCTCAGACTGTGTCCCTGTTCACTTGGGTTGGAAGCTGGTTCTTCTGAGTCCAGGGTCAGACCTCCTGCCATGGGCTCTGAGATTTATGTTTGGAAGGTTTGCCCTGTATTCAAATCTTCACTGAAGAAGACTCCATAAGTCTCCCTTTTGCTTCAAGGATCTTTTAATTTATTTGTGAAACAGGAAAATTCAAAAAGATGTTTTTTATACTGATGATTTTACACATTAGAGTTAAAGTCCTTAGGAAAGGTGGCATGTTCAAGCTTGGGCTGGAGAGATGGCGCCATAGCTAAAAGCAAGTATTGTTCTTGAGGACATCCTGAGTTGGTTCCAGGCACCCATGTTGAGCAGCTCACAAATGCCTGTAATTCCACTTCCAGGGGATCTGAGACCTCTGGTCTTCATAAGCATTTGCAATTAAGTGCAGAAACCTATACACAGGTGGCATATGCATATACATGCAATTTAATATAAAATAAATTTTATGCATGTGCTTTGGCCAGTACCCTAAAGTTCATACTTCAAATTCCCACAGAAATGAATTTAGACTTAATAGCAATGGATAGTTTTTTAGAGATGGGAAAAAGATTGGCATCCAAAGACAAGGTGGGTCCAAATCTTCTACATCCAGGAGGGAAGATAAAGTAGCAGTTAGAGGCACATAAAGCTTCCTACAACCCATCCGTCCCCTGAGGTTAAAGCTGGATTCTGTGAGCAGCCAAAGGGTCACCGATTTTCTGTTTTGTTTTGCTATCTGGTGGGAGGTGTTGATTTCCTTGCCTCCCATTGGCCTGTGGGTACATCAACCAGGATGACTCTGAGGGACTGGGCTACAAGCTGAGGTTACAGAAGGCTTTAGGATATAATTGGGATTTTAGAGAATAGGATTTATGAGAAAACCACTTTGTTGCAGGCAGCTGCGTACACTGGAGAACTGCGAGATCTCTCAGGATTGACAGAACTTTTCAATGCTTAGTTTCTGTCTGCTTCAGAGGATGGGATCGTGGGCTGAGTTTGGAAAACATGCATAAGTTACTGACTTCATGGAAAACAGAGATTTAGAAAAGTAGTGACAGCTGACATGATCATGTGACCAGCTGGGGCAGTATTCTCTGAGTTTTATTTTGTTGAGATAGGATCTTAACTTGGCTGGTATAGAACTCATGATGTAGATCAAGCTCGCCTTGACATCACAGAGATCTTCCTGCCTCTGCCTCTGGTGATAAAAGGTGGTTGCCACCATGCCTGCCAGTGTTGAATTAAAATTTTATCTTGTTTCATATTTGAGTCACTTACTCTTCCTATACCTGGAAGGTCTTACTTAAGGTCCTAGGTCACAAGCAGAGCTCAGACTGTAGATGGTACCTAAACCTAGTAATTACCTTTGGCTCCTTGGAAGTAAGCCTCCAGTGAGTAAAAATGTAAGCACTATAATGTGAGAACTGAGGAGGCCTATGAGTCATCCAACTTCACTCACGCTGGGCAAAGCCCTTGGCAGTAATTGGGACTTCATAGACCTGCACTACTTTCACTCATTGTTTGGGCATCCTGTATGTGTGTGCTGCTAACAGATATGTCTGTCATTTGCTAAAATTGCAAATGTATAATCATCTGACATGTGCTTTTTCAAGAATAAAATGAAACCTGGGGGCTTACTGTTAGGATGTAAAGCATTTGTTTATTGCTGTAATTCAACAGAATAAGAATGCTGTACATATAGATTTTAGAAAGCATAAAAATTATAATTTGTTCTAAAAAAATGGTATCTCAGAAACACCCCAATATGTGAATGGAGTTTGGTGACTCTCCTGCCACACGAAATCCCAATCTTCACATCATGTGTGACACGTCAACTTGTGGGTGATATATTATAAGTGACTGCTGAAGCAATTCTGATCCAAGCCAAGGCACACTGATACATTGGATAAGAATACACACAAGCTGTTATGGATGTCATGGTAGTTCCACTGATTCGGAGCAGAGTCATCCTGACCTTTCAGTGTGTGTGTATGGTCTTTGTGCACTTACTATCCTTAGCTAATATGGAAGTATAGACAAGGTGAGACCTTAGACTGTTCCAAAACTAAGTGCTCTGGTTCCCTTAAATTTGTAGATATACATGGGCATTTACATGTATTATCTACAGAGAGAGAGAGAGAGAGAGAGAGAGAGAGAGAGAGAGAGAGAGAGAGAGAGAGAAGAGAAAGGAAGGAGGAGGAGGAGGAGGAGCAGGAGGAGGAGCAGGAGCAGGAGAAAGAAGAGAATGAGGAGGAGGAGGAGAAGGAGGAGGAGAGGAGAGAGTTTTCCATGAAGCCAGAACAGAAAGGTTAAGATATACAACTTCCTAGATAAATTTAACAAAATACTAGTATTTATTGTGATCTCTGCGTGTCTGTGGTTTTTGATCATGTTATTTAAGTTTCAATCTATCATAGAAGCTATTGTGAATATGTGTAGTGTCTATAATGCAAATCGAACATTTTTCTAATGACAATTTTCATTCTTTTTGAGCAGTTTACACCGATACTGTGACATCTTCACACCGCCCTTGGAATAATCACACCGTAAGCATATCCCTCCCTGTGTTAATAGTGAGATTCACTTGTCTGTCTTCCTGGAATCATGTTGCATTTAAAGACTTTGTAAATCAATTTAGTTCGCAGACTTTTGTCTCAAAAGAAGAAGAAAAAAATAGAAGAAAAGAAAAAGAGTCAGGCATAGTTGTTTATTCCTTCATCATAGGATTCAGGAAGCTGACACAGGAGATACCAAGTTTCAGGATGGCCGGGACTACCAGGTCAGCTTGAGTTACTTAGAGATACCATGTCTCAAAGATCCCAGAGAGGAGTTTGGGGATTTAGCTCAGTGGTAGAGCACTTGCCTAGTAAGGGTCAGTCCTCAGCTCTGGAGAAAAAGAAAAGATCCCAGACAGACAGTATTAAATGCATGATAATAAATACATTGAAAAGAAGAGAAGAATTTGACTCTAAAAAATGGTGTTAGGAAGCAACTTTGTTAGAGATATCCAATAAAAGATATTTTACAAAGCAATAGAGGAAGGTAAGGACAAAGAAAGAAAGAAACTGACTGATTTTCTAATGGTTAAAATAAAAAGAATGAGCTAACTAGAGGAGAATAAATTAACATGTATTTTTGTATTCTAGTGCAGTATCAGAAACAATCGGGCCATGTAGAAAGTATTACTAATTGAGCAGACTTGTACTGTTTTTAACACAACCCTGCATGGTAAAGTTGCAGCTGAGCTCGATTAACTGCAGTGCAGGCATCTTTACCAGCAAGAAGAAATACTTTAGAATTAAATTCAAAACAAGAAATAGCAACATCTGGATCTGAAGCTGTCAGTCTGGCTCTAGGTGCAGTGAGAACAGTGCACAGAGACACATTTGTGTGCTTGGGTCTAGGTTTCAGGTTTGTTTGTTTTTGAGACAGGGGCTCCTGGAGACCAGGCTGGCCTTAAATGCTCTATGGAGTTAAAAATGATCATGAACTCTAGGACCTCAGGTCTCTACTTCTCAAGTCCTGGGATTACAGATGTGCATTCCCATGCCTAGCAACAGCAGTATACATTTTAAACCTGTAGATCAACTTCCTGGATTCTATTTCATGAAGAGATTGAAAACAAACATATGAGAAGATAATTGAGAAAGAATAACCACTGCTGCCATTCATAATCAGGAAAATGTTATGAAGTAAATGTCTGCGTGGGCATGGTGGACCTGCTTGTGATCCAGGCACTCAGAATATGTAAGCAGGAGGATCAGAAGTTCATCATATTGGCTGCATAGTGAGTGCCAGGCCAGCCTAGAATACATGAGACCCTCTCTCAAAACCAACACACATTATTTTATATCCCCACAGTGTTTGTCAAGAAGGAACTGAGAATTCCCTTTCCCACTGAACATGTTTGAGGATGTAGAGACCGTGTTCACAGAGCTTAACTAACTTGTCCATGGTCTCCCTGATTAGGCAGAGGAGCCAGAATTGTGACTCCAGAGACGAGGCTCATACATGGGCAAAGACCTGGTCTCTGGTCCTCCCTTTCCCTGCAGTTAAATCCATCCCATGGGCTCTGTTTAGGGTTGGTAGATGAGTGCTAAGCCATTAGAGGGGCCTCACCTGCTGCCCAGCCTGTCTCCTGCTTATTCTAGTATATGCTGATCCCTGATCACCTGCACCAGGGCACTAGGAGAGATTCGGCATTTCTGTCTAATCACGTGGGGTTAATCAGGCTGCATCCAGAAGCAACTTCTTCTGAATGGTTTATAAAGATGTTGATTTTGCCAGGCATAGAGACCCATGGCTTTAATCCTACCCATGGATTAGGGGGCAGAAGCATGTGTATCGCAGCGTTAGAATCCAGCCTGGTCTTCATAGAGAGTTCCAGGCTACCTATGGCTACAAAGTGAGAGAAAAAAAAAAGAATCCAGAATTGCTTTTTACAAGACAATTAGGATCTGTGAGGACAGACCAGGCTCAGCAAATGAGCACATATGAGCAACACCAGAGCATTGACTTAGATAGGAGCCACTGTTTTTCTCAATGGAGGAATAACCTACTGAATATTAATGCAGATGTAATCCCTCACAAGCTATGCAACCATGCTGTTACCTCAAACCACATAGAAAACATTTTCATCCTTCTAGACACTTGGAAGTTTGCATTGTCTAACATTGCACAGCTTAGTAACAGTTGAGGTTGTTTGAGTTTACTGGCATGTTCTACTCAATTTTATTTAAACACATGCTCTCTCCACGTGGCCCTGGCTGTCCCAGAACTGCTATGTAGACCAGACTGCCTTGGAACTCTCAGATGGTCTTCTGCCTCTGCCTGTCAAATACTGGGAGTCCAGATGCACACTCCCACTTACTTGCATATTCTAGAGTAGTCACAGAAAATGGAGGGAAAAGTCTAGGTTGAGGGCCAGGACAGGTTTTCTGCTCATCTCATTTGGTGCCTCTTCAATGATTGATGTTTCTTTAGGAAGTGGTCCCCACACCAAACCCCCTGAAGATCCACACCAAGGGCCTCTATATTGGCATCGCTGTGTCTGTTGTGCTGCTTCTTCTCACAAGCATCCTGATGATCATAAGTGAGTAACTCTACCGAGCTTTCAGTGTTAGCAATGGGAGTGGGTCTTCCTGATTAATGATGACAAAATCCAAGGAAGGTTGACAGAGCAAAATCTTTTACCCCTGGAGCATGGTGCAAAGGCTCTTTAAATCCACCGAGCAAAGTGGGGGTCCTGTTGGACTTTCACCTCTAAAGCAAAGAGGTCCTGTGCCTGTCTCCGAGTGCTTAGAGCTTGGTCCTCACTTTCTTCTGAGACTGGCCATATAAAGCAGTGCAGTGACTAGGGAGAATGGCATAGGTTTTGACCCTAGGAAAATGCTAACTCCATAGCTCTTCTTGCCAATGGAGTCTTCCCACATTTCTTTCAAGATGGCACTTCCTCTGTCTTCTTTAGCCCTTTGCTAGAAGACAGTATGTTTCATGTGGGTTTCCCAGATCAAGGAACTAGAACAAGGATTCTCAGCCACTCTGATGGCCTTCAAGCAACTCCATATGCCATGGAGTTCACATTTCACACGACTCCTCTGTGTTCCCCAATCTAAGGTATATATTGTAGTCCCCCCTGGATCACAGGGATATGTTAGAACCTACTGTGCACTGAGATTGTTTCTAACATTTGTGAAATGCTCAGTGAGTACTGTTACAGTATCATCAAGATTCCTGTTTCATATAAATTATAAAATGTAAATACTGGTGGCTCTTTTCTTAAGTACCACTGTTTGTTTGATTTGTTTCCTTTGGAGTTTTTGAGACAGGGTCTTGTACATCCCAGGCTGGCATTGAACTTACAGTGTAGCTGAGACCAGTGTTGGCCTTTTTATCCTTCTTCCACCACCATCCATGAGCTGTGCTCACAACCTTATGTTTTATGCTTCAATTGTTGGTCATGTCAACAGAAAAATTAAACTCAAGTTTTCCTTAAATAAATTTAATATGGGCCTGGAAAGATGGTTCAGCACTTAGGACCATGTATTGCACTTACAGAGGATGTGAGTTCCATCCCAGCTCTTGCGTGGTTGAGTCATGACTGCCTTAACTACAGCTCCATTGGATGCCTCCATGAGATACCTCCTATTTTATTAGGATTCTGAACTCTAGTGCACATACTTGCACAGGAACAGGCACACTTGAGTGCTCTAGCATACACACACACGCGCGCACACACACACACACAGAGAGAGAGAGAGAGAGAGAGAGAGAGAGAGAGAGAGAGAGAGAGAGAGAGAGAGAGAGAGGAGAGAGAGAGATCTTCAAAGAAAAAGAAATTAGAGACTGTGGAACAATAGTTTGTGGCACAGGATGAAATCTGGATGGCAACAGATCATTACAAAACCTAGGCTGTACTTTCTCCTAGCCTTGGAATCTGTTTTTTTCCCCATGATGATATTTATGAGTGTTCTGGAACACCTATTTAATAGAAGAGGCAAATGAAACACTAGGAGAGGAAACTACATGACTAATGCTAACCAGAGTTCTTTGAGGATGGAAGCCAGACCTCATGACCAGTGTTTATGTCTTCGTAGTCCACTCCCTGTGTAATACCTCCAGCTGTCAACTGTTCAAGACCCCACACATAAGCTCATTACTGCCCTGTTTCCCATGACTGGACCGAAAATAGAGAACAAGAATATGGCTGCCAGCTTTCAAGATGATTCCCTCCAATATTTAGAACTTGTTTATTCATAATGATCATTTAATCTGGTCCTGGGGACATCTGCCTATAATCCCAGGACTCAGGCTACTGATACGGAAAGATCACAGGTCATGGCTAGCTTAACCTAAAGTCGTAAGATAATGTCTAAAAAGGGAATATAAATTGCATAAAATACTACAGATACATTCACTTTCTTAGCCCAAAGTTGTTTATTCACCCCTGAGGGAGTGTGGCTACTGGGAGTCTTTGACAGGAAGTGGAGAGTGAGGAATAAGTGGTACACACTTCCTGAGCAACATTATGGGAGGAGCCAAGGCCAGTATAGTGCTGCTTTAGTGACATTTTTAAAGGGTCCTTGATGGAAGAGATCACTAATAGGACCTTGTGTCTCAGGTCACCTGGAGATTTCACATTTAGCCTGTTCTCCAGCAGCTAATTTACAAACCTAGACTTCATCTTTTTCAGTGAAAGACAATTTACCAGTGCCATTCTAGAGAGTTAGGAATGCTATATGGGTGAGTGCACCAATCTTCGAACGAAGAAGATACTTCCTGTGGGGCACAGGAATGAATGAGCCTCCCATGGTTGTTGGGGAAGTGTTCAATTAAAAACAATACCCTTGATTAGAAAAAAATATGAATGTTTTTGATGACATGTTCAATTTCCCTTTCCACTCCTCCTAACTCCCCTCACTCCATTTCAGAGTGCAGACACATGAGAAAGAAGAGGAAGCCAGAAGTGTAAGTTGTCTTGGCTTATGTCCACTGCTTTGGAACTTGTAGTCTGTAGATTTCTCCGTGTTCCTTTCTTTCTTTTCCTTTTCTCCTCCTCTTTCACCCATTCTGTTCCCTTTTTTATTTACTTATTCTTTTTTTTATTATTTATACAGTGTTCTGTCTGTATGTATGTCTGCACACCAGCAGAGGGCACCAGACCTCATTACAGATGATTGTGAGCCACCATGTGATTGCTGGGAATTGAACTCGGGACCTCTGGAAGAGCAGTCAGTGCTCTTAATCTCTGAGCCATCTTTCCAGCCCTATTTACTTATTTTTAATTAAAGTGTTTTTCATATTACTTATTTTCATCATGTTCCTTTCCACCCACCAACTCTTCTTGGATGACACCACTTCCTACCCACCCTACGTTATGTTCTCTCTTTCAACAAAAGGGGGGAAAACATATAAAACCCATAATACAAAAATGAAGAACAAAACAAAATAAAAAGACTGTTTTCTGTCAGTTGTCACATTGGCTCATCTGAGCTTTCTGACCCTAAGTTGTTTCCATACTTGTCCATGTGCTATTGACCCACTCAAAGAAAAGCTTTGTCCCATCTTCTTTGTAACTCTCTGCACAGGTGTTCTTCATGTGACTGACTGGTCCTACATTTCAGTAGTAGAGAGGGCCATTGACTCTACATTTCAGTAGTAGAGATGGCCGTTGAGACTACATTTCAGTAGTAGAGATGGCCATTGGCTCTACATTTCAGTAGTAGAGATGGCCATTGGCTCTACATTTCAGTAGCAGAGATGGCCTTTATATAAAAGACAAAACTCCACTCTGTCAAAACACTGCCCATGAGTTAGTCAGTCTGTTTTCTTCTCTGATTTGCTGCTTCATGAGCTGTAGGAAGCTCACACAGCAGCCTCCGTGTCTACCAGAGTAAAAGCCCCTCTCCCAACTGATGGGAAAGGACGGTCCACAGACACCAGCAGCTCTCTCTCCAAATTAGTTCCTTTCCCTACTATGCCTGATGTTTTTGTGCAAGTGATGTATATGAGTGTGCACTGTACTGTAGACTTTGTAGCCATTTCCCAGACCACCAGCCCCTGTGGAAAGGCCCTGCTTTGATGCTTTACATATTTCTCCATCTGTGTTAGTGTTAGAGCATGCAGATGCTATGCAGATTTCAAAACCATTTCTTTTTTTAAACAAGAATTTATTTATTTTTATTGTGGTAGGAGATGGTGGTGGTGGCTGTGTGTGTGTGTATGTGTGTGTGTGTGTGTGTGTGTGTGTGTGTGTGTGTACACACACAGGTTCCATGGCACCTGTGTAGGCCAGAGGACAACTTTGTGAAGGAGGTTCTCTCCTTCCACTTTTCCAAGGATCCAGGGATCTAGCATGGGTCACCAGACCTTCCTAACCCTTTCTAAAGTGTCACAATCCTAAGCTGTAAATACATGAGTCATTCAGTTCTTAGCCCAGTTCCAAAATGCATATCTTGATCAGGTAACTCAGTTTGATGTTAGGTCTCTGTCTTTTTAGATTTTCCACATTTGTGTTCTATTACATGAGTATCCAGATTGATGCCAATATGAATTATTTTTGTTTTAATGTTTCTTAATTTGTCTGATGTTTATTAAGCAAACTTTTCTATGAATTAATATCAGGTCCCTATATGGTGCTATTCATTCCCTGTTACCGTTTTGGGAATGGGGCTCCTGCCCTCCTGAATACCCAGTCTTGCTAAATCATAAATGAAAACTCTGCTCAGACCTGAAAAGTGACTTGCTTGTTCTTTTTTCAACAACTCTCTCCACAGCTCAGTCGTCTTCCATGCTTACCAGAATGAGACTTTTCAATCTACAGTGCATCCCCAAGCCGTGGACAAGTTTGACATTGTTGATGACAGTGTTCATTCAAGGATTAAATCCTAGCTGTCCTCTGAGGGGCCATCATCCCAAGAAGAAGTAATGGGATATACTTCTTCTGCAGAAGAAAGTATTGGGATATAACCACACTGTTAAATTTGTTCTGTGGCAGTTCATCTGATGTTCCCACTTGGAGCAGGAGTAAAGAGAATGGCCCTCTAGTAGTTCATATGCATAGTCACTGTTAATATAATGCTTTGTCTTGTCACACACTGGGGAGTGTTCTCTCAGGCACCAATACTTTAGAATTTCTTGTGTTCTTTAGATGCCATAAGTTGTATCTATGAGAGACAATCATTGGTAATGCAGGAAATGACCTTCTATCTCGGGTACTAAATCCATCAGGAAGAGGATTTAAAAGTAAAAATAAAATAAAATAAAAGTGGAGAGGGCAAGACTTAATTTGGAAGTACTTCATGATTATGTTTTATTGTAACTCAAAACGCTGTTTTCCTCACTTTCCACCAAGGGAATTAAGTCATGGGAACTGCAGGTTTAACTTGGTAGATAAATGGGAGTTGAGAAGTGTGTGTGCTTTCTAATGGCTTATGACATATGGCATCTAATTCATTATTATATAGATGATCTTAGGATAAGGACAGGTGCTTCATGTCAGGAGAGGTTGCCATGGTAAGAATGGACCAGGCAGACATCAGGGAAGAAAATAATGGACCAAGGACTGAGTTCATTAGTGCTGTTTTCACTGCAGTCTGACTTAGTGCTCAGTGTCCTGTCCTCACCCACTGGGCTCTGAATTAGGTGCTGGAAGGAGACAATGCAGAAATGAAGGGGGAAGAGGGGAGCAGGACCCAGGCTCTCTGCCTGAGAGAAGTTCTATTCTAGGGCTTCCAATGTTTGAGACTGTCACTGGTTTCATTCAGAGTTCCTAATTTATAACTGTCTTCAGGCCATATTTATATTTAATTTATTTCATAAAGAAAAAGCATTTTCACAGTGAATCACCATCAATAAAATACTTGGTTTTGCTAGAGTTAACAAAAGCTGTCATATTGATATCTTCATTAACAGTTTGGTTGTTGAGAAGATCTGATTTTCAAGGCAGTATTAATTTCTATATAAGTTTTCTGCCTCCTGATTTCTGGTTCCCCCAGTAGTCCACTCTCTCCACATGCCTTCTATGGCAACTGTACACACACACACACACACACACACACACACACACACACACACACACACACACACTAACTAACTAACTAACTAAAATGAATTATAATTTAAAAATTTAAATAATAAAATAGAATAAGGTAGAAAAGGCCAATGATTAAATGCTGATTTATTGATTTATTTAGTGATTTACCTAAAGCACCGTTTGTATTGACTGTTTGCCAAGAATGACTTCACTTGTTACCTGCAACAGAATGTTCTAGAGAAACAGCTGAAGCACTGGGTCACTGACCTCGACAACCTGCTGACTACCACATGTGCTTCTCTAAAATCTTGCTTATTTGTCTGCCCAGTTCGCATTATTGTGTTATTGTTGTTTGAATGTCTGGATGTTTTCTAATGAGAGAAAAAATTGGTGTGGATTTGGATAGGAGGGGGGATGGGAAGGATCTTGGAGGAGCTGGGGTAGGAAAATGCTAATAAAAATAAATTGTATAGAAAAAAAACTATTTTCAATAAAAAGAAAAGTAGAAAAAAATGAGAATACCAACTGGAGCCAGCATGGAAGCCTTATGGGGTCATCTAGGCTTTGGGTCATCAATGCTGTGTCCTGTCTTCCACCTTCATTGAGCTCAAGTGATTACTCTTCGAAGATTTCCACAACAATAAGACATGGATAATTGACTAGCTTTTAAAATGAAACAATGGCCACATTTTATATGGTAAAATTTGAGGATATCCAAAATTGATTTTGAGGCAGGGGGCATTTCCTGAAACAGGAAACCCAGACCTTTGTGTGATCACCTCTTGGATGGAAGGGGAAACAGAGACCCAGAGAAAGGAAAGGCCTTGACCCAGGTCACCAGGTTAGTTTGTGACTAATGCAGAATCTTAACACAGTACATTTTCCTCATCCCAATATGATCAGGCTTGGTTGGCCAGGCAATGTGTAACACACCTTTAATCCCAGCCTGTTGCATGCAAGGTCAGCAGTCTACCCCTGGGCTACATTGATAGCCCATTTGCTATAAATGTTAAAACAAGAGAACATGCACACATACACACCCACCACAAACTTATTCAACCCAGGGGTTTCCAGTGCTGGCTGCACTTGAGGAGGAGCTGTGTAAAATGAGAATTCAGACTATAACTACAGAGATGATGACACTCCTGTTTGGAGGATGGAACTTGAGCACTTGTAACACTCTCCATGTGATCTAATGATCAGGCAGGGTCTTGAACCTCTGGTCTAGGCCTTCCCTTCCCTTCTCTAGACTGCATCCTTGAGTTTGAAAACACATGGAAGGTACATCACTGACCTTCACAGGTGAGGCCTCTTCATCCCAGTTCTTCCTATCCCACCCCAGGACCAGGGTTGTCAGAGATGATAATAATCCATATGTTTGTTATGATATCATGACCCAAGGGTGATTCTTACAGACAAAGAGGACATGGAAAGGTCTACTCACCTGGTGTGATGACTAATTCCATGTCTAAGTTTTGATCATTCCATAGACCAGGAAATTGTATCCTGCAGCAGTAGGTCCCATGGTCTTCTACAGTCACATTCTCTATGGTCAGGGACACATCTCCTTTGAGGAAATTCCCCTTTAGCTGGTATCTGCTGGGTTTCTGATATGTCACATTTCTTTCATCAGTGCTGAGCACCCAATTGACACACCATAACCAGGGACAGGGTCCCTTGGCCCAGCACATAGGTACAGGTATCTCAAGGGCAGGTAAGGTGTAGCTGCAGGGCAGATATGCATTCTTACCAACCTCTACTACAAATGTGTCTTCCAAAGACCCTACACAGAGAGGGAAGGAGGACAAGATGGTGAGGGAGAGGGTCCATTTCTGTTGGCAATGCCTCACAGAATAAAAGAGGAAACTATGGCTGCCTGTTGGGAGGAGAATTGACTGTGCCAATGAGTCTCTCTGACGTCAGAGGCAGCAGAAGCAGCAGAAGAGAGTCCTGTTCAAACACTTAGTATGATTGCACATGCCTCTGATCCTGGAGCTTGGCAGATGGAGACAGAAAGATCCAAATTAGAGACCAGACTGAACTATATAGCAAGTTCCAGGCTATTCTGAGTCATGAAATAAATAAAAAACAAAACAAAACAAAACCAAGTTGACAGATCAGAAAGTGATGAGTTATGCCCATAATCCCTGTACTGAGGAATCTGTGGCAGAGCTGCAGTGAGTTTGAGACCAGCCTGGGCAACCTGTGCTCATTCCCTAAAATGTCTGACTCCATTAGTCTGAGGTGGAACATGGGAACTTGGTGTTTCATTTCCCACGTGTTGTGTGTCCTTGACTGACCACACCCCACTTTTAGAATCATGGGCCTCAAAAAGAATTGTTAACAGTTCTTTGAGGATAAAAGCCTGGGCTAATAGAGTCAACACTTAGAAAAATAGACATCATTAGCCAAGAAAATGGCCTACCTATTTGAACTAGTCTGTTCATTAGCAAAGAAAAGGTAACCTCATGCTCATTCTCTCTTTCTCGCTCTCACTCATTTCCCTCTTTAGTGAATAAAACCCCTTGAAAAAAACTGAACAAGTAGCTTGCGTATTTGAAACTACTCATATGTTATATTGAAGTTTAAAATAAATTCCTCTATAATAACACATCTATATGATAATGTATACTAACTACATAAATGGTACATGAAAGCTAGACTCCCTCTCCCAACTCTTCCCATCCTCCAACTCCTCCTCCTGGAGCCCAAACATTAAAAAATGTGCACACACTGCTGTTCCCTGGCAACTGTGCACTTTGATTTTCTCTGTAGCATTGTGATTGCCAGCATCTATATCAAGTTGTTCAATTAGGCTCCCTGCTTATATCATGGATACATCAAATTTACTTACCTGATCTCCCACTCTTAACATTTGGGCTGCTTCCAAACATATGCTTTTACAAATAGCATCACTACACCCATCCTATATCTCTTGGCCTCTGTGAAATAATCAATCGCTCTCCATCTGAAAAGGTTCAGGCTGGTACTTACTAGTAAGTAGTAGTAGCAACAACAGGTCACAGTTGAAGAAATGTGAAAACGTGAGGACTTGGCAGGGAAAATCAAAGGCCAGCTCTGTGTAGGCACAGCTTTAGCTCTCCAGTTAAAATGCTACTTCCCCAAATGTCTGTGTATCCTGGAGCTCGGGAGAGAGTAAGAGGCAGGGCAATTGAAAAGTTGAAGGCAGAGAAGTTATATAAGCAAGTTACAGGTCATTCTGAGCAATGAGACACTTCCTCCAAAATCCAACAAGTCAGGGATGGTTCCCACCTGGACGCCCAGCACTCAGGAGGCTGGCGCAGAAGGACCACCATGAGTTCCAGACCAACCTGGGTTGCATAGTGAATTAGAGGCTAGCCTGAGTTATGGAAGATTGCAGGGCTTCTAACTCAGGTGGTTGGAAGCTGAGTCTGTGGCCTTGCTGTCAGTTCCCACATACTGGGGTCCTGCTTCTTCATGTTCAGAAACCCTGCCTTGGGGAGATATGTGGATCACTTCTGTGAACATGAAGTGATGGGGCTAATGGAAGTTGACAGAAAAATGGGCATTGTTGCCCACAAAAAATGGCCCATCTGTCTGGGATCTGAACTAGTTGTCTGTTCATTAGCCAAGGAAAGGATGACCGAATCACCCCAATACAGTGAACAAAAACCTTGACAAATAAGAAGCTTGTACATTTCAAACTACTGGGGTTGTTTTAATGTTTAGCATTAATTCATTTCACGAAATCTATATGTACACATCTATGTAGGAGAGCAGTCAAGCCATATCGAGCATGTGTGAAGTCATGACTTCCTTTCCAAACTCTTCCCATTCGATGCTGCTCACTTTGAGCCCAAACATTAAAAAGCTC